ATTTATACCGTAAATCTGCCATAAAATATATTAATTAAAAAAACTTAAAAATGTAAATTTGCCGATTCTTAGACTTAAAAAACCTAGTGACTGTATAACAAAATTATCACTCAGATTTGGCTTTATTTGATACTATTAAGTCAGATCCGGCTTGATAAAATTGTATCAGAACATATCAAAAATTAGAAAACGGACATATCAAATTATATCAAGCCATATCAGAATATATCAATAAATTATCTATAGATATATCAAATTATATATATAAATCAAATTATAAATATTTACCAACAATTTGGTCAATCGCGGCATCTTTGTCTCACTCATGCCAGCTACACTAAGCGCCGATGGTGGGAAACCGAAAAAAACACCGGCAGCTCTTAATATAAATATCTGGCAATATACTTTATAAAATATTGTATTTAGTCATCATGTTCGGTGACAAGTTTTCGATTATTTTTATATTTTTTGGATTGTTCTGCAATATTGTGGTATGTATTCATCTGTTCAAATTATTATAAGCATTAAATATATACTGATTATTAATTTCATTTTCCAGGGAAGAAATGCAGAAGCTTCAAGAAAAATTGTTAATGTAGATGAAAAAAATTTTGGAAATTTTGACGTATTGAACGTTAAAGTTAATAAACAAGATGGTAAAACTGAAAGCAAAAAAATTGTCATTGTTAATATTGATAATTTAAATTTGACTGTTGATTCTACAAGAGGAGGAGTTTGGATTTATTTAAAAAGTCAAACAAATAATAGAAACAATATTGAGGTAAGTTTAAATATTTTAGAATTTTTTTATCAAATAAATTATAAATACAATTCGTCCCGTTTCTGTGTAAACCTCGTATCTACAAAATCATAATATTCGGTAAATCGATAAAAACGTTTAGAGTTACTTAATTTTTATAAAAAGTTATAACTAATTCAAAATTTATACTCTTTATTTATCACCTTAAAAGAATTAAACATGATTTTTGCTATCTGTATCGATACCTTGTTGTTATTGTCAATTTCATGTAGATACGAGTTTTCTCATCAAACACCCTGGTAATTTTTTTGCAGATACGAGGTTTTGAAACAAAAAAAAATTTTTTTTTCTCTAAGATCATGGGCGAAAAATTCTGTTATGCAAGGCTTTTCAATTCATTATTATTTTATATTTATTAATTAAAACAAATTCATTTGATTTTGATTTAACATGTTATAAATCATGTGATTACTATTTATAATATGGTTTAATTATTTTTAACTTCCCGCTAAAAAAATCGAAGATCTTCAAAAATCGGGAAGTTATTAGTTACCCCCTTTTGTAAAAATTGAGTTTTCACTAGATCTCGATGTTTCAAGGTCACAGGAAGCTTTCCTGACCACCCCCGCGATAGTGTCTGTACGTCTGTATGTGTGTATGTGTGTGCGTGAATGTATGTAAGCCTCTCATAACTTTTGAATGGCTTGACCGATTTCATCGTAGTTGGTGTCATTTGGAAGGGCATGACTGAACTTAGATTTTGAATATAATTTGGACCGATTGGGGTCTTAACATCAAAAAATCACGTCGATTGCTGTCAGTCCGGTCAGCATCAGTTGATTCGTTCGTGAGTTATCGTTGACGAAAGAAAACCAAAAAAAGTGTTTTTTCAGAATTACTCCGAAATTCGTAGTTCGATCAAATTGAATTTAAAGATTTTTTATGAGGCTTAAAAAATTGCGTTGAATGCTGCAAACTGCGTAAAAATCTGTCCATTTATTTATTTATTTATTTAATACAGACCCAACAGCCAAAAGGCCAATAAAAGGGTCATTAATACATACATATTCACATATGAACAGTAGTATATTGAATATTACATAGGGTAGAGTAAAAACAATAGAAAACAAATGCGGATTAATTGATTAATTCATTAACAATATAGTCGATAGCTATTCCTGTATTACAATTTAGCTTAAAAGTGCTAACTAATAAATGGAAATGTTATGCAAGCGAATAAGAATTAAGAATTAAGTCTAAAAATTATTCTAAAACATTTATTCAAAAGTTATCGCGGTTTAAAAATTTAAAAAATAGTGTTGTATCAAACTTCTATCAGACTTGTGAGCTCGAAGAGCTAAATAATATTTGTATGTATTCATATGGATAAAAAATAAATGTCAATCAACAAAATACAGTCAACTTAAGTGGGATCATGTTAACAAACATTCAGTATCTAGACAACAACGCCATTTTAACGTTTTTGGCGATACTTATGGTAGATACGAGGTTTTTGAATTCGAATATGTAGATACGAGAAAAATCAAAAGCCTCTAAAAAAAAATTCTATCCTCTTTATGAACATTGCATGTTTTGTTTTACGTTACAAGAGTGCTAAGGAGTGATTTTCGCTAAAAATCTCAATTTCGAAAAAAAAGGAGATACGAGGTTAACACAGAAAGGGGACGAATTTCTTATAAAATTAAAGTAATAAGATGACCATTTAAAAAATTTTTTTGACAAAAAAATTTCTTCCCAAAAATTATTTTTAAAAAATTCTATTTTTAATTTTTTAAAATTTCTACGTGTCAATTTTTTTTCTGCCATAATTTATCAATAAAAAAATTTCTTAGAATTATCATAAATATCTACTAAATTAATTTTTATTTATAATTTTGAGCAGATTCCAAAAATCTCAGTTGACCCATCATCAGAAAAAGTCCACACCCTGGACACAAAAACTCTTCTTTCGACATCCTGAACATAACCTTCTCCAGACGTAACTAGCCCTGAAAGCAAAAAGAAGATCAATATCTTAATCAACGACATAGTCGTAGTCCTCGACACCAGGAACTACGTAACTTTGTCTATAAAAAGCACCAAGAGCATCAACAACAATAACAACAACAACAACAATCAGATAATCATGAACGGCAATGACTTAATTATCAACTTCAATAATGGCAATGTCTTCGTCAGCTCTAATGACATTAATGATATCGACATCAACTTCCACTGGGATAGCGCTGCGTTTTCTACTACTATTGGCGAAAATTTGGAAATAATTTTCTGAAAAATTTCTTATAAAGTCGTCAAAACTCTGCAGAAGATATTTTGAAAGCCTTACCGTCTTTAACTAAGTCCCGAGAAGAGTCAATAAGTCTTACAAACTCTGAAAAAATCAAATGTTTCCTAAAATTTCGGACTTTCAGTAAGAGTTCTACAGAGTTAATAAGACTTATTTATAGTTTTACAAAAAAAAAATGTAGGCAAAAAAATTACTCTACAAGAGTTTTAAAGGTTTAAGAAGACTTTTAAGTAATGATGCTCTAAATAGTAAAAAATATTTAAATACTTATTGCATTGTCATAAATTTATGTTTTTTATTTATAATCACATAATCAGCCTTAATACATCGCGTTACTAAAACCATAAGAGCGTATCTCAAAATTGGTTCTGCAGAACCAAAAGGATGTAAAAAAAAAAGTTTTTTTGCTCCAATCAATGTAAAAATGTTGAAAACATTAACATTGATGGAAAAAACGAAAAAGAAAAATTTTTTGTTTTACGCCCTTTTGGTTTTAAGAAAAAATTTTTCTGAAGTTATAAGGGCATATGCTGTTTTTTTGGGTTATTATCAATTATAGGTTAGAGTAAGAAAAAAAATTGCAAGGGTAATAGAAATTATCACTCCACAACTTAATTTATATCAACAAATATTTAGGAGAACCTGGGACACGAAAACCCCCTGGGGCACGACGGTCCCCCTCAAAAATAAGGTAAAAATTTGTTTTTTCAATTTCCGTCAAATTATTACCTCTATAATGTTTTTATGATATTTTGGGCCAATATGTGATATGCGGGGCATAATGGACCACTCGAAAAAAAGATTGTAACGAAAAAAAAAAAAATTTTTTTTTTTCGAATTGTGATAAATTTGTGGTCAAATAAATTATAAATAATTTAATTGAACTGAAAAATTTAACAAAAAATCAAATCATACAGGAGAGAGTGGTACACGAGGGCGATAGGAAATCACATCGAGATAATTTAATAAATATACGATTATTCGCAATGATCACAGACATATTCGTCAGAATAATCTTTGCCAATACCTGCAATTTTTACACTGAATCCATGACTCTATGGATTCTAAGTAAAGTCCATTGCAATAAAGACAATGGCAATCATGATTATTATATTTTGAATGGTTTTTTTTTTTCAAATTTTTTGGTTTTGATTTTATTTTTATTTTTTTTTAACTGAGGTCTTTTTTTTTGCTTTATTAGTAATAATAATAAAATATTTAATAAATGTCTATAAAATAATTCGTTTGTTTTTATTATATATATAGATTATAAGTTTTATTATTCGAATTAATAATTGTTCTTATTTTTTTTTGGCTCTTGAGCTGCATCGATCGGTAGTTTACTGTACATTACCTTCATTATTGATAACAGTCAGTAATATATTTTTTGAATTTAATAATTCTTCTTGTTCTTGTTTCTAATAAATAAATACCATTCATTATTTTTTTCATGTGATTAATGTTTTCATTGTGATTAATGAGCAAAAAAAGTCAATTTATAAAATAAACCTGAAGTAACAAAGTTTTTAAAAATATGTCCTAAACAATTGTAAAGATTATTTCATACGTGCAATAAAAATTAATACTTTAAATTTTTTATAAGTTTTGAAGTTACAAATTGTCATTGATATTCTTTTATGAAATCATCATTTTTTTCATTAAAATGTTTTTTTTAATCCCTGAACGAACTAAAAATCATTAACACTCTTATTAAGTGAAAATTTTATATCTTATTTTCTTCAGTAATAGTTTCCTGATTTAAACAAATCACTCATTTTTTCATATCTTCAGATCTATTTTTTTTTTTTAACATCTTTCCATGAATTTTAAATGAAAAATAGAATTACCGATTGATTTTTATTTGAATTTTGTCGTCCCAATAAATCTTTACTCGCTGCCAACTGATCATTAAACGCAGAACAACAGACATTTTTTTCTGGCTTACATACAATCGGTCTGGGTGATAACGACATTCCTGGATTCAAAATTTTTGGGCTCCTCTCCGATGGATAAGGTCCTGCTCTCATAATTCTTTGCTGTGCTGTTGTGATAGTATGACTTCCTCCACAATATCTGTTGCAAAAATGATCTCTGAAACAACAAAAAAATGGAGATGGTAGATATTTTAAAAAGTTTGGAAAATCTGAAAGTCCACGACTGATAATGTTCACTTAATTATGAGCTAATAGTAAAATAAGAAGGTAAAATGGAATATTGCAGTAATAGGACGATAATATGATAGGCAATAGTCAAAGAATTAAAACAAAAGAAAAGTGACTCAATTAATGGATTTTTTCGCAAGTTACAATATTTACGGGCTTGACGGACAGGAAATTTTTTTTAAACAATTACCATGTTTTTTTCCCGTTTATATTTCACTAAACTAATTTTTGAAAAGTATGAAATTAATTTCCATTAAATTATCTTTACAATAGTATGCAAAATAAGAGTATTATAATAAAAATAGTTGCCGAAATGAGGCAAAAAAAAAATTTAAAGATTGTAAAACACTCTCTGATGCTTCGTATTATGAGTCGTGCAATTATAAACTCCGTAAAGACATACTTTGAAGATTTCTCCATTATATTTCTCTGATTTTGTTTTTTGTACGTATCCTTCATCAAAGCCGCAAACTGGTTAATATTTTTACCCGGGTATTGTTTTAATTGTTTTTTCATTCGATTGGAGTTGTATCTCATCAAAGGTTTATTATTATTACTTTCATGCGAAATGAAATTATTTTTGTAAATTGGCCCTTGATCCATCCTCATCATAACGTTTTTATTGCAAGATATACATAAAACATCACTGAAATGATAAAAGAGTTAATACATAATCTCCATAATTAAAATGATTGGAATTTATTTTATTTACTTAAGAATTTTTTTTGTTCCAGCTGCTTCGTTTTTCTGGCGCTCTTCTTCTAGATCTTCGAACTTTTCTTGTATAACTTGGAATTCATCATTAATATGATCTATAATTGGCGATATTTCAACTTTATCAAGCTTCTTATCCACAATTTGTTGAATAGTATTCAAAGCGTCGCTCAAAGTATTTTCTTGTTCCGTCAATTTTGATTCCATTGCTTCTAAGCTGTGAGTCAAATCGTGAATGGCCGAATCAAAACGATCATTGGAAATCTGAATGATTTAAAAAACATTAATATCGTTTTAACATCTGATCAAAAAATTGTCTGATATGGCCATATGTCATTTTTAATACATCTTCACATAACGTAATACGTCTATAAATGATCTAATAAGATAGTGTTTAAAATTTCCGACAGAGCGCGCATGATCACTACATAATCTCGCTACTAGAGATTCAAGTTTAAGGTGTTTTAAACTAAAAATCATTCATTTGGCTCTCCTAAGGATCTTTATCTGGCGTTAGTTTTTATTAATTTAATCAACTAATAAACCGATTTTCGTTTTATTGACGAATACATTTATAGGAAAAATATAAAATTGGAAAATAATTCAATAAATTGTTGTTTAACTTTCATTTGTAACCTTATAAGGCCGCATCAGACATTTTTTTGCGGTAATTGATCAGTCTCAAAATTTAATTAGATATAATATCGTGTTACTTTTTAAAATTGCAAGATAGAATTTCATACTAAAAAACTGAAGAATTGCAATAAGAAAAATATCAAAATATACTAATACTTGGAATCAACCTGCTTAATTCTTTAACTTTCTCAGTTAGCACGAGTTGACCATCAACTAAGTTGATGTTCAATGGTTTACGTCAACTTTACGTTAACTCCGCGTCAACCTCAGTATTTGCAACAGTTTCCCAAAATTTGACTTTAACTTACGCATCAAGTTAGTGTAAATCTATTGCCGGAATTTTGCGAAAGGTTCGCTCAAAGTTAACGCGGAGTTGCAGAAAGTTAACGTTAACTTTACGTCAACAGTTATGAGTACAACTATTGCTTTACTGTCAGCGTAAACTTTACGTCAAATTCCGGCCGCAGGTTTACGCGAACTTCGTTTCGTTTGTACTAACTGGGTTATGAAAATAAAAAAAGATTTATTGTTACTTTTCTGTTCACAATCTCAATATCCGCTTTATCTGTCAATGCGTCTTCAAGATCTTCTTTATCGGCTTTCAAAATTTTCAACAGATCTATTTGCTCGATTAAAATCTAGAAAATCGAAATTATTAAAAATTGTATTCTTAAACTCATATTTTCTAAAAAACTCATTTTTATACATTGCATTTTTCTTTTTCCTTCGTAAGCATATCGCCAACTTGTCTAATACCCTCAATATCATTTTGAATTTCTTCTATTTTCGTAACAAGTCCCTGGATCCCATCTGCATGACTCGACTCGTTAACTTTTCTATCATCATCAATTGTCTGAATTTTCTGTTCTAGAGCTAAAATACGAGATGCAAGATTTTTTATATCTTCATCACAATTTTGTGAGCGAGAGTCCCTCGAACTTTTGATCGTGCCCATTGATTTGCTCTTGCGTTTGTTATCATCATTGGTAAAACGGCTGTCGGTAATACCGATTTCTTTTGAGCCGGGAATAGACGTGTTGCTAGCTCTCGACGAAGATTCTTCAACGGCAATGAATGATGAAGAATATTTCGTATCAACTTGATCTTTGTTGCCAGATGAACTTCTTTTGCTGTTAGAAGATTTCGAAATGCTAGATTTTATTTCATTGATACTCGTCCTGACATCACTTTCAGTTTCAATTGATTTTTCTGGCAGAGGCTCCGTTGAAGGATCACGCAACTGTGTCACTTCGTAACGAAGTTCTTCAATGTCCTGTTTCGTTTGTTCTACTTCGGACTTCAAGGCTGCCATTTCAAGTTTAAGCTCATTAAGAACAGAGCTGCCTGCAATAATTGATAATTAATATAGTTCAATTCATTCATGAAATTTAACATAGTGAATTTTAATAAAAATTCAATTTAAAATAAAAATACGTAAACTAGGCTACTAAGATGAAATACGGCACCAGTTCATCGAATTCTTAAACTAATAAAAAAATCCCGGTCTCGAAAAATCAATTTGTTCGGGAATAATCGTTGGTATATACAAAATGGAGTGACATCAGGACGTCCACGTAAAATTTTTTTCAAAACGTTTTTTTTTTTTCAATACAGCAACATGAAATGATTTTAGAAAGTAAAAGATGGTTTAATTTAAGTGTTTTCTCGATGTATATTTACTTATATTATTGTATAAGTGTAATATGGTCGTGATAGAGGCATTTGAAGATCATAAAATTGCTTAACCTTGACGAGTCGGGTGTAAAGCTCAACCTCACGCTCTTCGCACTATGAGGCGTGCAAAAATCGAGTTTTTCAGAATTCTAGACAAAATTCTATTAATATATAAAATAATTTTTATAAAAATAATTCTGATAGCCTTGCTCTATGTTTAAGAACATGCAGTTCAGTAATTTTAGTAAAGTTATCGTAAAGTTTACGTACAGCCTTTCTAAATTAAAATTATATGTAATTTAATGAAAAATCTGCAGCCGGAATAGGAATGTAAGTTAATACCAAGCTTGTAATCAACTATTTTCCTATACAAACTTTACTGAAACAACTTGCACGTTAAGTTGCAGAACTTACAGTCAACTTAACTGAAACTCTTGCTTTTTCAAGTCTTTGCATTTTTATTGCCGATTTCGGACGCAGATCGACGGTAAGTATCAGTTAGCATGGCTATCAGACTAACTTACTCATATTACTGCGTTTGCTATGAGAAGATGAAATTTTGGAACTGATATCACTCAAAGTTGACTTCATCAAGGCCTTATCTTCTCCCGATGCCGAGCCAGCAGTCGCTAATCCAGATGCCACACTTAGTTGTGGTGAAAATTTTCTCTCTGCTTTTGCATTCCGGGTTTCTACTTGATCGGCTTGACTTGTCAATGAAGGGAGTTTGTTATTATCGACACTGTACGTTTCAGACTCTCTCATCAATCCCGACATATCGTCACTATCGCTATAAAATTCTTGTTTAACATTCAGCGGAATTTCTTCTGAAAATGTTATTTGCTCTTGAGGTAACTCAGGTTTATCCCTTACATCCAGAATTTCTTTCATTTTGATCATTTCGTCGACAATATTCATTAGATCCGTTTCTAACTTTGTGAGTCGATCGTTAGAGTTAGTATAGTTATCAATTATACTGTTTGAAACACTATCTTGTTTCTCGTTCAGAGAAACATATGAACTCTGTTCCTCACTTTTGATTATATCTTGTAACATTGTCATCAACTGAAATTATTAATATATTTAATATGTAATCAAGAAAATAATTTTTAAGACCTTTATTGTCTTGATTTGAGTAGAAAAATCTTTGAACTAAGAAATTTTTCTTAGTTTAAGTAAATTTTACTTGATTCAAGAATTTTTCATCTTGATTAAAGTTAATTTTTTTTTCAGTATTTTAGAATTTCATTCTAGGCCAAATAAATAAAAATATGGATATAAGTACATTTTTTCGAATAATTAATATTTTTTTTTAACTTTATCAAAAATAGAAAAATTGGAAAATAAAATTTTGAATAGTGTTAATTTTTCAGTTTGATTTGAATAAAAAAATTTTTTTTAATTAAAAATTTTTTTTTAATTAAAAAAAAATGAATAAATGACATTATACATATTTGCAAAATTATTATAGTTCAAATAAACTTCAAGAAAATATGTGTTGAAAAAAATTTTAACTACAATTTTGAACAATGTAATTGGCTGTAAAAATTTTTTTTTTTAATTTGTATATTACGCTATTTCTGTAGCTGGACTATTCAAAGTAGCGAAAAATTTGGTTCACTTAACAAAAATAATTAATATCAAAGAACAATTTTTTTTAGTATTGTCCAATTTTTTAAAACAAGAATAATAATAATCTGGAATAAACTTAATTGAAATTTACGAAAGAAGTCAATAAATAAAAAATGTTTTTGTAAATAAAATTTACTTTACTAATTCCTTGTTCACTTGCATCAAGCCTTTTGTTAATGTTAATCATACTCCACATATCATTTAACGGATCCGGTCGACTAGTTTTAATGCGTTCGATTATTTCAGGATTAGTTGCTAATTCTTCTAATGCTCGGAACTGTTTCTCAAGTTTTTCAACAGTTTCATTTATTTTTTTAAATCCCAACGCACTAGGTACAGCACCGTCTTTTATAGGCTCCACAAAAATAACCGACTGACGATTATCTTCAACCCCAACCCCTATTCTTTGTTTGATTCCTTTCGTCTCTTTAACATCAGAAGCAGAAGAAGCGAGATTAGCATTTGGTCCTTCGAGGTCCGCGGATGTTTTTGAATCAACCGTATAAATTTCAGCAGCGACAGCTGGTGCTTCAGCAGCATGGGTTCGTTTGATAACATTGCCTGCACTGTCAGTGATACTATACTCGTGTAGATAAATACTCGGTCCTGATTTTAGTGACGAAACAATTGTCTAAAGATTGTTTGGAATAATTAAAATCATTTTTGTTAAAAAAAATTATTATGATTTTTTAATTTTTTAAATGCAAATATGAAGGTACTTTTATCCTGTTTGCGTCATCTCCGCGATACTCAATTTTTAAATTGATCAAATTTACTTGATGAAGGAGTACATGCAGAAAATTGTGAAGGATATTCAAGTTTATAGATCCTACCTGTCATTGGAAATTTTAAAATTGTTATTATTTTTCTAGGAAGAAAATAAATTTTTATTTTGATACCTCAGGAGTGCCAAGTGCCAAATCAAGCATTTCAGGTAATGAAACTTGAAGACTTATTGGATTTTGAGTCATTTTATTATTTTTTAATTACAACTCTATAAATTTAAAGGTAATTGAATAAAATTATAAAAAATATGGTTAAAGTATAACTGAAAATGACAGACGATAAATTTTGTAATAGTCGAGATTCTTTTGTTTTTTTTTTATTTAGATTTAAAATGAATTATAATTAATTTAAATAAAAGTTAATAAAAATAAAGTGATTAACAAAAATTCATTTAATTGTAAATGAGTAATGGTATAAAATATTAAAAAATACGCTTCAACGAAAAACCAAACTAAAATGTAAAAAATAATTTCCAATAAGTTTTTAAATAAAAATAGAGTGAATAACAAAAAAAGTTTATGTTATTGTAAAAAAGCGTAGTGTGTTTGATATCAATTTTTTATAATTATTTTATTGATAAATCATTATAAAAATATCTTAATAAGCACCCACGATTTTTTACGATCAAATTAATTTTTATTGTTAATCACTCTATTTTTATTTGAAAACTTATTGGAAATTATTTTTTACTTTTTAGTTTGGTTTTTTTATTGAGGGGTCATTCTGGTTTCGGCGCTCGAAAAAAAGCAAATATTCATTATTTTTTTTCACAGAAACTATTATAGGTATTAATATAAACTTTAATCAGCTTAACACATATGCTCTTGAATAACACAAAAAATATCTAACTTTATTATTTTTCATATTATTTATATGAATAAATAGCGGGTGAACACAGCTCCTTCAAAAGTTGCTAAGCCGCTGACGTGAATGATAATTTGATAATGGCTCCTCTAATACACAAAAACCAAAATTATATACCTTTACTTTATAATTAGCTATGGGAAGAACCACGGAGATTAATATTTATTGATAAAAAACCTGAGATTAAAAAAAAAAACTTCAAAATGGGCCTTTTATTCTTAGTTTTTGGTCCTAAAAAAATAGTAAAAATCCAAATTTTGATTTGGTTGTAGTCTATGCTATAACTACTACTATGTACAATATGTGGTTCAAATTTGATTAAGATCGGTTGTGGGGTTTCGGAGATATCATTTACGTAAACAAGAAAAACATAGTTCTGAGATAAACACGTTAAACGTTTTTTTAATAAAAAAAAAAAAAAAAAAAAAAAAAAAAATCCTTCCTAAAGTCAATCAGCAATGTTAGCACCATAAAAAATCCCCTCAGTCTGTTTAAAAACTTGATTTTCCTTCACTCGATAATCCACATAAACTTCAGAAAATAATATAGTTACAGTGGTCCGATCACTTAGACATTTCAACACAATACTTGTAGATATATACTTTCGAAAAATGTAAAAAGAGAAAAGTAATTTTTTCAAAATTTACAAACCAAAATGATTCTTTAAAGTGTTTTTTTTATACTTTTTCAAACTATTATTTATTTTTTACTTTTTGGTTCGATTGACCTTAAAGCGCGTATTTTAATTCTTCAAACTATAATTTTTATTTTAAATTGTAAAACGTACAATACGTCCTTGTTGATCGTGTCAGTATAGTCACATGCTTTCTTAAAGATAAAGCTATACGCATGACTTAGTACACGGCTTAATGCTTGGAGCAAGGACTACCGTGTCTTCGGATCTAAAAAACTCATAATCCTTAAAATCCTGGTCAGAATAATGGGACAAACTTTTCATTGAAGATTTAATTTAATTTGACGTTTTGAAGTGTGTTAAAAAGTAAAGGGCGCTTTTTAAGATATTTTCATCATAACTTCGCTTTTACAAGTATTTGTCAACAAATATATATGTCTTAACAAATTCTATTTTTTTCAATTTTTTGAAATGCGTTGCAGCTAAATTGATAATCCATATAAATTAACGCTGGAAAATTGTATCGAATTATGACTCACTAAAGTAAAATTTCATGAAAAATAATTAACATAACTCCTAATAATTAACATAACTCTTAATTAAATAATTCCATAACTCTTTTTTCCAAAATATCTGTAGAGAAATAAAAACAATTTTATTTATAATTTTAGACCTTTAATAATAATTCTGATTACAATATTGAATATTTTTTTATCATAATTAAAAATTACTATTTGACAGGTTTAGGCGCCAATTTTTCGGCATAATCATCGCTGATGTAATGCGTGTAACTTGAAGAAATAAATTTGAAAGCCAAAAATCCCGCGTGATTAGGAACACTCTTATACATCAATCCAATTCCACCTAAAGGTAACGGCAGTGTTGGTTTGTATTCGCTCATATCAAAGAATGGTACAACTGGTAAGTCATGTCTAGTTTCACTATTTGGGTTTGAAACTGATAAATAGACAAAATTAGAACCTGGATCACTCATTTCGTAGGTTTGACTCTTTTGATTTTTCGCCACCGGAAGTTTTGTTAAAGGTATATCTTGTCTATCGATAAAACAACATAAATAATAATAATGAATTCAAAACATTGCATACTAATTTGAATGTTCATCGATAAAAAAGTTAACTTGACTCTAGAGAAAAAAAATTTCCACCAAGAAATTATTCTTGGTGTAAGTAAATGTTTCTTGCTTCAAGAATTTTTTTTTCTCTTGACTCAAAAGAAAATTATTTATTCAAAATGGTATTCTCGATTTAAGATTTCTTGAATCAAGTTAACATTTTTATGAGTGCCCAATTGGTAAATAACTTTACCTTGATGTTTGCGAATTTTTGTGCGCATTAGCTTCATTATTACTAGCGCTACTCTTGGTGTTATTAAGATCGTATATTGTTTTTCCGGAAAGCTTTAATGATATAACATTTTCTTTGACCTCAAACTGAACTCCTACGACAAAATCAGCTTCATGCAATACCCGGGTCGAAAAATTTAAACTGATTTTAAGCTAAATGATCTGCATTTGAACTTATTGATCTGTATTTGAACTTTTAAAAACATTTTCATCTGAATTTGATCTACTATTCA